ATAAACCAGTGTTATCATAATGCTGTTATTTGTAAAAGTGGGGGAAAGTGGCCTGTGTTTGTTGAAACACATTTACACAGACAGACCTCGATACAGCTGAATATTTTGTTTCTGTAATTTGTTGTTTCCTGTTATGTATATGAGTCATTTCGAATCCACACATGGCTAGTTTATGTGCAGCAATAGTGTCAAGCTTCATGTACGTTAAACCACTGTCCATAGCAGATGATCTGTATTTGATCAAAGTTATGTCAATCATGCCTTTCTTCATTCAGTTAAGTCACAGCGTATCTATAACTTACTTGTTTATATTCGTTTCAATATTGCCAAAAGCATAACTTAACAATTACTCTTTTACTTTGATTGCCCAAGATTACTTCCCTTTCTGCAAAAAACATATGATCTCTTTGGGACAATTGTCGTAAAAAATACTTCATAACTCTAACTTTCTTATTACCTTTTAAATACAACATTCCCAATTCCTCTTTAGCTAAACTATTAGAGACAGTTCGTTTCAGATGCAGTGTCATCTTACAAAACTTATTATGTACATCGGGCGAAGAATGAAATCCCCATATCTCCGACCCATACAGCAAAGATAGATATAAATGTTAATATAAATAATATGCAATAGATTCTAAACAGTCAAATTCTCAAAATAATAATAATAATGATAATAATAATTTATCTTTGCGTTAATGCGACAAGTTGTTCGGATAATATATTTTGGGCCGCGTACCATGAGCCAGAACTAGCAAGATGTATACCCAGGATTTGGGGGCACTGGTGACCCAGTCCTTTAATGCGTCGCAAGTCACTGTGACGTCGCGTCCCGTGAGTACGCCTGTATGGAGTTGTAGTGCCATTATCCCATAACGTTTGCCACACAGAGTACAATGATGTGGAAATAGCATTATTCAAATCTCTTGGACATGGATTAACTGTGTGATGTCAATATTAGTTCTGACAAGAGTAGTCGTTAGGTAAACCCATCTGCAAAACTTGAAGTATTGCAATCAGCTCGGCTAACTAAAGTCGAAATATGTTGGCCATATGACGATTTGTAAGGGTACACAACGCCTGGCCGTCGAGGGTGGAGATGAGCTTTCTAATCGTCTGACCCGTAAGTCGTACTCCAACAGGCTAATAAAATTTGGTGCGTTTGAGCTCGATTTCGTAGAGCCTGATTTCGGATCAATCGATCATGTACTCTTGTCGTTGACCTGGGACGCCCTGAACGGGGTCGATCGTCAACATGTTGGGTTTGTTGGTACATAGACTGTGAAACATTGAACTTCTGGCCACTGCCTGCTGTCTTCTACCAGTTTCCAGCATGCCATAGCCCGTACAGGTTCCGCGGGTTACGGACGTCGTATCGCTAGTTAATACACAAACAACAGATTAAATCAAGTAAATCACAACTATATGATCAGCAGAATCAATAAGATTGACAGAAATAATGGTCAACAGAGTCTATTCTAGCTTTCAGAGTGTCAAATCAGGAATGACACCCTGGCACGTGTGTGGCGCTACTGCATGAGACACGTGCAGACTATAGGTTGCCCTTGACGTTAAGTCTTACATACATAAACGTTCCTTTCTTATAGGGTGTGTCGTCAACACTTATGTTTGTTCTAATGCTTGGTATGAACATTTGTATTTCATGATCCACTACTTTTTTTCAAGAATGTATATGTGAATGAAGCTAGAGTACCGCTCAGAACACATGCTGAGCCAGACCATGGTTTCGGCTTACTGACCAGACTGTATTGCTGACACGTGTCCTGGGTTCTTTAACACCGTGGAGCGGCTCGAGGTGCAGCAGACATGTCTGTCAAGTTCTGGCACGCCCATCCCAGATGTATGGGTCTTATAATATACAGCAGCCATTGGAGGTGTTGGGAACACTCCAGGACCAAGCCGTAATGCCTAAGTAGATTGAATGCGCTCGAATTTTATAACTACCCTTGTCAAAATTAACCCATTACGTAGCAGGGGCGTCTTATCTGCACCCAATTCTGTTTTAGAAATGTATTTTAGCAAATTAATTACTTTCTTATATTTGGTAATGATACTTGCAACATGAAAAGAGAATGTCAGTCAGTCAGTCAAAGAATATACCAATAAAGTTTAAATTCTGAAACAAATTTTAATCTTTTATTAACAAACTACAATTCTTTATTGGGAGGGTTAACATCACGGTAACTTACTTTGTATGGTATGTTTCAAACCCAGTTTACATATCAATCTATGCTGAAACACTTTAGTACTGATTCCTGTGGAAATGGAACATGACCAAAGCGTCTCCAGAAGGACCGTCAGCCAACTGAGATGCATCACCATTAACAGGCAATCACCAAAATAGTCATTGTGTCGTGACATACAGTTTGCAGAGTTGTCTCCACTTTCAGGTTCCTATGAACCCAAAATATATTCATGGTATGATTTGGTTGGCTTGTTGTTTAACGCAACACTCAGCAATATTCCAGCTATAGGACGGTGGTTTATATATAATCAAGTCTGGAACAGACAATCCAGTGATTGATATCATGAGCATCAACCCACGTAATTCGGATACCATGACATGCATTAACCAAGTCAGCAAGCGAAACAAAAAGACCCCGTTAGTCGCCTCTTTCGACAAGCACAGTTGTCTTTTACGACAAGCATTGGTTGCTTGGGACCTATTCTACCCCGGATCTTCACGGGTGCCATGGTCTGAAAGCACCCTTGGCCTATACGTGCTATATCAGGAGATACAGACACTATCAGGGTCACCAAACGGGGAATTGTGTCTGGGAGGATCATGTATTTAAGAAACGACCACGATTCGTATATTTCTTATGAGATGTCAACATTATGTACATCCTCTTTCTACTGCGCCCATCATGGTTTAGTCTCCCTGTAGTGCGTCATTGTACGATAAACAACTCCCACTCCTCTTAAGTAAATGAACAGTAATTTAAGTAGGAGGGGCGATAATCTTTGGTCCATGGTCCAGTTGAGTAGTATCTCTCTCTCTGTGTAACTCTCTATGGCTATATGTCTCTTATTCGTGGACTTTTGGGATTCGTTCTAAATGTTAGTCTCTTGTTGATATTTTACAGCGTGAACGTACTCCTAGGATTTGTAGGGATATTGTGTTTATGCTGTCGATAATTTGTCTGTATTGTCATGTTGTAAATGTAGGATAGATCATGGTAACTAGTTGTGTTTCTGTATGCTAACGCACAGTAGAATGTATAACAAGTGTTATTATTTACGTAAGGTAAATAGTTCGGTAAGCGTTAAGTTCAGGCATAATACATCATAATACATCATTATTAAACTAAATCTTCAAGTAAAATAAAGCCGATGTATGTTAGTGTGAAGTTTGAAGGTAAGAATGTGAAACATGTGTCGCTAGGTTACATGTTTTGTTATATATATGAATGTGTAGTGTATGAATGTAAATTGTATGACTGCATGAAAGAATCAGGGTTAACTAGGTTTTCTATACATTTTGTATATATTGTATATTGAATATATACATGATAGTAAATGTATCAAGTCATGTTGTTGGTACTCCGCGTGTAATGTATAGCATACGCAAGTTTGCGGGTGTTTGTGATAGCATTAAGTGTTGATGCAAAGTAAATGTAAGCATCTATCAGCAGTTACAATATTTTGTATATGGTCAAATTTAATGAAATATTTGTCAGTATGTGTTTATATTTTGTTTAATGAATGCTTTACAATTGTTTCAAGGTTTAATTATAAGTAATAAACTTGGCCGTATTCGCGAACGACACCTGTGTCTGTTCTTCACGTTATGATTTGTTTGTTTGTTGTTTAACGCCGCATTCAGCAATATTCCAGCTGTATGACGGCGGTCTGTAAATAATCAAGTTTGGCCCAGGCAATCCAGTGATTGACATCATGAGCATCGATTGGGACACGATTACATGCATGCATCAACCAAGTCAGCGAGCCCGACCACCCGATCCCGTTAGTCGCTTCTGACAAGCGTAGTCGTGTTATGAAGCAGACCCGGTTTCACTATGAATTCTGGACACTGACTAAACAGCGATATGTGATAGGGATGGATAAACTTTCACAGGGGCCAAAGGTACATGGCACCGCTAGTACAAGCTCCGCACACAACCGTCGAGACCAACTTACACTTGATGTCAATTTACATAACCGGGTGACAGAAGAACATATATATACTTATGTGAACTCGTCAACTCGACAGTCCATCGGTAAAGTCAGGTTCCATATAATCTGAATCATAATTTGACTAACGCCATACACAGGCAGTGGAAATAAAATGTTAACGCTGTCAATATTTTCTCGTTGTACCTTTGAAAACCCCTGACACCATCTTTCCGTATCAGGTCATGGGTTCCTCGTTGTACTGTCGAAATAGTCTTTTAAACAACAGGACGCGAGTAGACTAGCTGAAGCTTAGCCTCTGAAAATATTTATTTTTGATAGATACAAGCATCTACATATAAATTGAAAGCAGCCCCCGTGAGATGTGAGATTCAGTACCTTAAGGACTCTAGTGTTACAGTAAGAACGGGGGGGGGGGGGGGGGGGCTGGGCTGGGGGTGGTGAGAACGAACATAATATGGTTCGGGGTCCGTGATACAGACTTTGCTGCTAGCTGCGGTGACCGGATTCCCTCATCCGTTATTCGTTTAACATCAGCTCTTCCGTAAGTCTATACATGTGGATGCGGCCAATCTCGTAATGGCATCGTACTTCGGCATCTCCGATTGCTATATTACTTTATGTCTAATGATAAAATATTTTAATAATCTATAATACCGGTCTTTTGTTTAATCAATTGTCCCTGCTTTATTTAATCATAAGCGATTTTAAACATAGGTCCCAGATCGAACCCAAAACAGGTCTGCTATGCCACACAGAAGGTTGTCAGTGAGAGAACATTTATGAAAAGCGCTCGGCACGCCTCGTGACATTCCGCTGTATGTTAATCATCTCCGCGAGGGCTCGGCATCTCATGAATAATTCATGATTGGTTGTTTTCAATCGCATGGAGGCTGCGGCGGTTTTGACGTTTGAGGGTAAGTTGTGTTGATCCATAGGCGACAGGTCATTGGCGGAATCTGGTATGTCGTCTTTTGTTTCAGCAACGCGTAGTACACGTGCAGGTATCTGTAACCTATCGAGGATGTACGTGACTCTGTAGAAGTGCTTCGCTCGAAGTGCCAGGATTCTGCGAGTCTGCAACATGGCATCGTCATTCCTATCTTATCTGCCAACGGTGCAACAGGCGCACAGCTTGCTGAAGTTATAGGGCGAGCTCTGAACACTGAACGGGAAGATTACTTTTCATCAATTTAACAATAGCCTATAGATCTATTCTTTGAATGGGTGCCCCCTTCACCTTTCAGACACCTCACGCGGGGTAACTGCACGCACGTACCATCGACCAAATGACTGGGGTATTAGCCTTTGTGACCACACAAGCGCCCCCACCCCCAAACCCAACCCCCCAGTCCACGATACGTAAACGGACATTTGCCAGATTTTCAGAAGGATGACAAATCTGAATCGGAATAGAACGGAATAGTCATTGATGGTTCCGCAGCTTACTGCTGAAATTACTGAGTGTCTATATTAGAGCTAGGGCTGTCAGTAACAAAAGAAAAAAATGATTTCTTATCAAATTCTTGTTCAGAATGTCAATCACTATTTTCATCTGTAGATCTTAATGATTGCACGAATCACATCTGTCATGTTCATCATCTATATGTAATAAACAAACAAATCCAATGACATATGCTTTCTTGAACATGTTGAAAATACAGACAAAATGGCAACTTAAAGGGGCACTGATCTAAAGCAATTCCCCGGGACTGGTTGTTGCCTTTGTTATTGTTTTTTCCCGTGAGTGCCCGGATTATACAGTAGAAATCTAGTCTAGTTCGCGACCTGTGCTGCGCAATTCGTAAGCGCATTTGTCACTTTTATTGATAGTATAACGGCGTATGGTCGTACTGATCAATAAAATGAAATACAGTTTCGAAATAATAAGGAAATGTAGGTATCTTTGTGGGTAGCATTGGTAATGGTGACGAAGTTTTGATAAGTCACTTGCTTGGTAATTGTGCAATTTTCATTTACACTATTTTGACTTGCAACACAAAGTAAATATTTCTCCTGAGTATTGCTTATTTTATCATGTTTATATTTTTACAGTCAAAATGTGCAAAATTTTCACTTTGGAAATTTATTAAACGCCTAAATATTCAGTTACTTTACAAATTGACTTAAAAATATCTCCATCTGTATTATAAAACGAATTCCAAAGATTTTTATGTTTAATATCATCACCAAGAGACTAAATGTTACGATGGAAAGTACATTTCTATATTGTTTGGCTTCTAATCCAACCTACATAATAATCTATTGTGATGTTTTAGGCCCTGTTGATCGTCTTAATCAATTTTAGTCAGTCTGTTAAAGAAATGGACAGATTTTTCAGTCAAAATGAGTGAAATATTTAAACATTTTTATAAATTGCCTGAGAGAATCACATTTTACAATTTGACTGTAATATATACACGCTTACAAAAAAAAGACTTGTGAAAACAAGTCAATCACACATCGAAGAATTTCCAAACCAAGACGTAGAGGAACAAGAATGAATCTGTTCAATGCTACAGCAAATGAAGGAAAACAAAAGGCAAATATCATAATTATAACCGACCAATGTATAATTTTAGGCAGCTTCCTTGTTTGAGGAATGTATCCGTGAATATCCACACCAAGGCCATAGTTAACTTTTTTTGACAGGGGGGCAAATATTTGTACAAGTATCACTTGTCCCCAACTTGATTCAAATAAAACTGTTTTCTATAAAAAATCTAGGGGGGTCAACTGCCCCCCCCGGCTGGCTACGGCACTGCACACAAAGGAACAATATCCAACATGTCTGCAGCTGTACAAAGAAACTTATTCGATGTCACGTGTCTCTGTAACAATCAAATATTTTAAAATATATATCGTTTTGGGATATTATAACCTGTGTTCGTTTCTCAACTGATCACTTAGATTGTTTCAGGTGATTGACATAGGTGTCAAGTCTCAAAGGTCGGCTGAGAAAGCCCAAGTGTCAACTATTTTCATAACGTCCACGGTTCCTAAATAATAAAAATTGAGTTAGATAACAATGATCAATTAATCAACGTATTATGGGTTAACCCTTTGAGCAGAGTACGTTGTTTTTACATCGGCACATCACGCCATGATATGAGTGTATGCCTTTTTAGTAAACCTAGACATGTAAACACTCACTTTTGACATATCCACTGTGCACATGGTGCAAGATAACAGTGATTAATCAATCAACATATTTTCTGTTAATACTTTGATGACAAGGAACGATCCGTTGATTCACTAAAAAGTAAATCAACTGATCATTCATCTCTTGCTGGGCTGCCACGTGCATATTACATAACACACATTTCATCTCACTTCAAACCTGTATTTAGATTGAATAATTACCCCAGACACAATAAATGCCGAATGGGAACCTTTGTCAGGTAATCTGAGTGGTGGTACCAGTAATTATACCTGTAAAAAATTCATTAACTGAGCATCAAGTTAATGTCGACAAATACACAAGTGTAGGGTTATGCCAGATAATGTGGATGACAACAAGGGAGTCGTTATCGTATTATCGACGCAATCCGAAATCCGAAAATGCTTTCACTGCATGGATGCTTATTTTATGATTAAACTATAACCATCTGGGGTATTTCCAAATGACGACAACCGATGAGCTCCGCCATTCTTTTTGTCTTGTTTGTTTAGGCTGAAGAAATTAATTAACATGCGCCTTTTTTTTTAATCTTTATAGATCACGGTTAACCAGTCAGTGATCCAAAATGCGTAAAACAAATATTGCCTCCAAGTTTATTTAACTGTCCTTGCAGACGGTAGCCCAGTCTCTGGTCATGCTCAGTTGCGTTGCGTATCATCCGGGTACTCACAGGGAAAAAACAATAATAAAGGCAACAACCAGTCCCGAGGAATTGCTTTAGATCAGTGTCCCTTTAATGTTGGTGATTGGTTGGTTGGAACAAACTACTGTGACAATTGGAACAAACTACTATGACAAGATCAGTGAAATAATCTCAACCAATTTCAAACTAAAGTTCTGACATTGTGTTCTTCTGACAAAAACACAATGAATAAATAATAAGACACATGCATTTATCATGAAACCTATCTAATTCTATTAATGATCATTTAGGCCTGTCGACCTGGCTGCACCAAATTCACTGTTGTCTCAAACTCATTTGAGCGTCCCAAGTACTATGGTATCAAAATTAAGCATTAAACTCCCTTGATGGCTACGGCACTGCACACAAAGGAACAATATCCCACATGTCTGCAGCTGTACAAAAAAACTTATTTGATGTCACGTGTCTCTGTAACAATCAAATATTTTAAAATATATATATCGTTTTGGGATATTATAACCCGTGTTCGTTTCTCAACTGATCACTTAGATTGTTTCAGGTGTTTGACATAGGTGTAAAGTCTCAAAAGTCGGCTGAGAAAGCCCACATGACAACTATTTTCATAACGTCCACGGTTCCTAAATAATAAAAATTGAGTTAGATAACAATGATCAATTAATCAACGTATTATGGGTTAACCCTTTGAGCAGAGTACGTTGTTTTTACATCGGCACATCACGCCATGATATGAGTGTATGCCTTTTTAGTAAACCTAGACATGTAAACACTCACTTTTGACATATCCACTGTGCACATGGTGCAAGATAACAGTGATTAATCAATCAACATATTTTCTGTTAATCCTTTGATGACAAGGAACGATCCGTTGATTCACTAAAAAGTAAATCAACTGACCATTCATCTCTTGGGCTGCCACGTGCATATTACATAACACACATTTCATCTCACTTCAAACCTGTATTTAGGTATCATCACGGGGAAAAAACAATAACAAAGGCAACAACCAGTCCCGAGGAATTGCTTTAGATCAGTGCCCCTTTAAGCCTTCCTATTGTTGCAGGGTTTTACATAAGGTAAAGAAAAAACATCAATAAATACCATATTCTTGACAAGTGTACAGTTTCTGTAATAAAAGTAATTATTAAATCTTACAGTCAACAACACCACTTCATTACTTATATTTCCTGTATGGACCCTTGAAATTAGTAATTGGGGGTCCTCTGAACCCCTGGATTTGTAGGGCTGGGGAAAACAATGCCTGCCGACACTATTTTGGATATACAATTATAATTTAACTTGAACCCAAACTTTAGTTTTTGGCCTTAAGAATTATTGTGAACAATAGCTGGAATATTGCTGAGTGCAGCAGAGCTCCAGATAAGCTGCCTATCTGCGTAAAATACGCATCAGAAATGCAGAAATACGCAGTAAAATAAAATCCAAGCGTATCAAATACGCAACGAACATTAATACGCTACAAAAATAAAACTTGTGCGTATCATCAAAATATTGTGAAGTAACCCTGTGTATTCGATTAGCAAATCAGCAACATATTTTGAAATTATAAACGGGCATTCCGTCAACCTTGCCAAACTCCACGATGACAGTTACATCATGATCATTTGCCATCACACTTTCTTATGGACATATCGTGGTATTTTTTAGTCCTTTAAAGCTCTCGAACCGACATGACACTAGTTCCCAGGGACTAGATGAATAGTGTTTTCAAATATTTAACTTAAATACCCACGTGTGTAAAAACTAGTGGGTAACAGAAATTTGAATACCCAGATAGAATTACTGTTACCCAATGATTTTAAAATGCATGGGTAAAATACCCACAACACCAAAAGCTTATCTGGAGCTCTGGTGCAGGGTTAAACAGCAAACAAACAAACAAACAAAGTGTGAACTCTGGTTTTTATGTTTATAATTCCATAATTGCAAAAACATATTGAAGCAATTATTATGAATAAAAACATCAACAATAATAACTTCATAGACTCCTTATTGAATCATTTACACACAAAAAATAGTACAAAGTTGGTGACATCATTATCAACTGTTCAGAG